TTATAGCTAAAAAAACTCAAAACTCTGTAATTGTAGTTATACCAAATAATAATTATATTAAAATTAGAATATTTTGAAGTATTTGTATAATAAAAAAGGTATACAAAGGTATACAAGCTAGTTTAGTCAATACAAACTCTCAATAAGTCTTCTAAGATTGCAAAAAGCTACAGAGTAATGTGATAGTGGGTGCTCACTTGACAAGTTCTGAGTAGAAAAAAATTTATACTTTCAATATGCTACTAAAATAGGCTTTATCTAAGACTGATATAATTAGATAAGAATCAGATATTTGGAGAAAAGAAACTCTATCAATTAGGTCACCAAAATGCTAGAGAAAAAGAATTTGCAATGCAGATATCAAGAACTAGTGTTTCTACTAAACTATTTAAATTAATAGTTTGAAAAGACTGGCTAGAAATACTAAAAGAGATAATACTAAGTTGTCTTAAAAAAAAGTACTAGAGTTTAAGTAAACTCTACAAAGGCAGAAGTAGATTGTGTAGCAACAATCAGACCATAGTATAGTTAAAATATTACAAAAAAAACTGATAAGAACAAAATACTTCTGCTATAAAAACTGAAACACAAGTAGTAAGCTTCAGCTAGTGCATATTAATTGAAGACTAGATCAGCTAGATTGTAGATACAAAAAGCTCTAGCAGATTTATTTTGAGAACAAAAGGCTTTTTATAAAATATAAGCCTGTTTTAAAGTTCTAAGTTAGATATTTAAAAATAAGAAGATACTAAGTACCCTTGCTCAGTTAGAAAATTAATAGATATAGGTACAAAAGGTTTAAATAGATAACCCTCTAGTTAGATTATAGATATAGCATCTAATATAGAACTTAGTAATAAGCAGACTACTTAAATAGACAACTAAAAGTTATATATATGGCTAGTTATACTCTCCAAATATATATACAGTATAGTATATATTATATTGTAAAAATTAATAATAATTATCTCAGATTAAAATAAAATCAGAGTGTGTGATGACTTAGTGAAGTTGGCAAGTTGTTGCACTCCCAAGCAGCAAGACTAGAGTTCAAATCCTACCTGTAACGAAATTCGAATTTATAGAAAATGCATTTGGAAGACTGTATTCTATTGGGTTATAGAACCTGTAATAGTAGTCGTACCAGCTTGTACTGAGAAGTAGTAGAACATATAGTGTGATGTATGAGTTACACAAAATTCGAGTGAAGCTACTGAATAAATTCAGCGAATTTACAGAATACATAAGCCTGCTTGACAAGACCTAAGTAGAGAGGTAGCACAGATCTTTGACGGTTACTATATAAAGGATGATCAACTGAATATCAGAAAACCAAACAGGACCAAGGTGTTTGGCAAGGCACTATACCAACCAGGCCATCGGATAATTGAAAAAAAGGTTTTGCCTTTCCAGGCCATCAGATTGGAAGTTTGGGTTTCCAGAGGTATGGGAGAGAGTCTGTAAAGTAGGTACCGGGGTTTGGGTAAACTCTACAAGGGTAGTAGTAGGTAACTATAGCAGCCTTGGCTCACAAGTACTTGTCCTCAGACTTGGTGTAAGTTACTAAAAAGGCCTAGTCTGGAAATGTATAGGATATAGAAGATTAGGAGTGTATATACTATACCTTCCCTAGGGTAACTCGGTAAGTATGAGAACCCTACTGGGTTATCTGTCGAATTAGAGCACAAGTAGTATAGCACATGTCGATTTGGGTGCTTTCAATGAAGCAGCACAAGGTTATGGGTTAGGGTAATTAAGGTGGTAGTGCAGGACAGAGGACATCAGAGAGTTTAATTGGATAGCTCAAATAATAGTAGGTTATAGGTATGGCATCTAGTGTAGACTCTAGTAATAGGTAGCTACTTAATTAGACACTCAAAAGATACAGGTATGACTAGAATGTACTCTCGTTAACCAAGAATGTACTACTAATATACCTAATAAAAATTTGCCCTTCTGTGACATTGTGAAGGTAAAAAAAATAAAAAATAAAAATAAAATCAGATTAAAATAAAACTAGGAACCTCTTTTGCTTACTTTTAAAGCTTATAAAACCTATATATACTTGTTTATTAATAATCTTAACTCTAAACTCTAACTCTAGTACTAAAAAAATCTAAAAAATAGTTCTCAAAAAATTTAAAATTTTTCTTAAAAAATAAAAAAATTTCATTTTAATTCAATTTCATTTTAATCTGTTACACTAATTAAAAAAAAGGAAAGCAACCAAGAGGTCACTTTAATATCAAAAAAAATTATGAATATTATATAATTGGTTAATAAAAAAATATAATAGTGACTATAAGGCAATTGTGCCTATATAGAAGTATAAATAATATAAAAAGGTTACAAAAAAAACAGTAATTATATTAATTTTATAACTATAAAAGAGGTGACTATAGAGAAGAAAGACTATATTTCTTCATAGATTTTTAATTTATATATTGTTGAGGCTTTTATCTGCTATTGGAGTTGTTGCTAAGATTCTTGGTTTTATACTTCTACTATTTTGTTTAAAGTTGTCTTTCTATAAGGTCTTCGATATCTCTTTTTGTAATTCTTTGTTTTGATATTCTTTCTTTTTCTTTTACTTTTTTTGTTTTTGTTCTAGGATTTTTGCTTTTTGTTAAACTTGTATCTTCTTCTTTTCTTCTTTGATTCTTTCTTTTTTTATATATTGTTTTCTTGCAAATGTTTTGATAGCTTCTTTAAAATACTATATTAGTAATTGTAATGTTGTTTTGTTATACTGCTTCTATTAATATTTTCTTTATTCATTTAGTTTTTTCTACTATCTAAGTTTAATTTTAGGCTTTATATATTTAGCAGCTTGTCATTTCTTGTTATGTACAAACCATCTTGTTATTTTTGTTGTACTTAAATTTTTAATAATTTATTTCTTAGTATTTTGTATTGTTTTTCTTTTTAAATATAAGTTCTGTGTATTTAATTTTTTCAGCTCTATACTACCTTAATTTTTTATTAAATATTATTATTCATACTTCTGCTTGTTCTGCTATAATAGACTCTTTTCTAGAATTTTCTATTGTTTTTTGCTTTATATGACTATTTAGTTATTGTATTTATATATTTTTTTTGTTTTTATTTGTCACAAAGTTATTAATATACTTTCATTGTTTGCTCTTTTATTTTATATTGTATGTCTTGTATAATAAAAACTGATCAATATTACCAATTTTTTAAATAACTTGCAAAGAGCAAAAATTATTTACAATTTTTTATATTTTTTCTATATCTTTGTCACTTCTGCTCTTCTTACTCTGATTTTTTAAACCTGTTATTTTTAATTTTTATCTTTTTTTTTAAACTGTGAGTCTTGTTTCTTATTGTCTTTTGTATATTTTTATTAATATTTTGTTTCTGTAATTTTGTGTATAAAGGATTAGTAAAAATAGTTCTAAATAATGATAAGTTTTTGATATAGCTTTTGTAAGTTTTTTATTTTTGATTCTTTTTTGATAAATGCAACTATTAGTAATATTATTTTCTAATACTCTAAGTTTATTATATAATATTTCTTATCTAAATTTACTTTATTTTTTAGTAATATCGGCAAAAATTTTGGAGGACTATATTTTGATAGTAATTCTCTAGATTATAATTGATATTCAACCCTTTGTCAGATATTAGGATCAAATATAGTATAGGTTACCCCTTTTAAAAATTATTTAACTCCCTAATTTTATATGATTATTTTATTGTATTTATCAGTTATATTATAATTAATATTTTAATCAATATTAAAAAGCTAATTTAAAAGATTATAGTATAATATATAGTAATTAATTTAAAGATTTTTAAAGATTTTATTAAGGGGCAAGCTATACTATATTTGATCCAAAAAGGAGATTTTTCACAAAATCAGACATTGCATATTTGTGCGGTAACGGGTAAATTTTTCACGAAAAATAGGATCCTCCAACAATTTTGTGCATAGTCCCGATGGTCTTGTTACATAACGGTCCCTATAAAAAATGGTGCACGGAATTGATGATCTAACACGAGTACATAACACCACGAGAGTATACAGAACTATATAGAATATAGCACGAGACAGTGCTTAGAGAAACATGCCCTAGACTATAGTTGTGACCCGAAACCCAAAACCTTCAAATTAGAATGTTAAAAATTAATACTTATTTGCCATAAAGTAACTAAAAAAAAACTCTTGGAATGCAATCTAATTATCATATACTTTAAGTTTTAAAGTTTAAATCTAAATTTCTAAGCTTTCAGTATATTGTTCGAGTTTCGGGAATTTATATATAGTTTCGAGTTTCGGGTCACAACTATATCCTAGACATGTAAAAAAACGCAACAATACACGTAATAGCATGCTTTTTTAAATGCTTTTCCGTGCAATTTCCAATATAGTTACGTATAAACCGTTCATTATTTCGTGTACATGTCGTACACATAAGAAAATTTCATGCAATTATATGTTTGTCGACTTTGCTTCCGTGCAACTTATCTGAATTCAATGCTTTGGACGTGCTATATTTCGTGCTGACATGTGTACTCATGTGTAAAAATTTCTTATAAGGGGTCTTTGCAATATTCACATAACAAGTTTGTAGTGTTTATTCCATACCCTATGATGACGGGCTTTAACACTAGTTAAAATATTAAAAATATTAACAATTTACCATCGAGATCATATGAAAAATGATCTACCCTTAATCTATCTACAGTGCAGACAACCTATTAAACAAGCAAATTTGTCCACTTTACACATGAAATTTGGCCTCTCTATATATTAAATTTGGCCACTCTATATATTAAATTGACTATGTTAAATTAAAATTTTGGCTATTTTATGTTGAAATTTTAAATTTGGCCGTATCATATATATAAAAAAATTAAATTTTAAATTTGGCCGCTAAAAATTTCATTTGTTGGGACTAGGTTGTCCGCACTGTACAATATTATATCTGATATCATACGTGCCACCAATAAATATTAAATTGGACAATATTATTTTAATCACGCATGGTTCCATATGATTTCGTTGAAGTAAGAAGCAAATTAATATCACTATTTTCATTTTCATTTTCAATGTTAGTGTTATTCGAATAATTAAAATTAGCAATGCTTTTGTCCAGAATGGTAAGGTCGTCATTCTTTTCAATGTCGATAATTTCATCATCGAGATCCATATCACAGAATTGTTTTATTGAAAGTAATATAGAGTTTAATATTCCTCCACTATGTGCACCTAATATTTACATGTAATAATTGTTACAATTGTATCGGTAACGAACATTTTATGACAAATTTTATGATTAAACTTACCTATAAGCAAAAGTGCTGAGAAAAAAGTCTGGTACAACTAACAAAAAAGAATAACGTAGCATAAATTAGTAACAAAAAATAGCATTTTGAGAAATATTAGAACTTCAAAAATTATAAATTAACATACAACAGAATCATT